CAGATATTTCACATAAATGCTTACTAGAACACTGGAAGAATTCCCTTTGGAAACCAATTTGATCCAATAGGCCTTTGGGATGGACCATCTGAATATGGTACTGCAGAAATCATGGGTGGTTAACAATTGCAACTTGATCAAGGTATGATTTGACCATGGCAATGGAGTACTAGAAATCCCCTTAATTTCCACATCTTCTAACATCTTCCCTGAAACAAAAACCAGGTCCAAAAAATGACCATCTATATGTGTTGGGTTCAAGATTACTCAAGAGGTGTTTATGATTGCTATGTGAGTACAACAATGCCTAAGCCAGGATTCCTCAATCCCAGATCCTTCAACACCAAAAGTTGTGGGTTCTCTGCCAATATATCAATTCCCTGGACTTCCAAATTTGACTTAATTTGGAATTATTTTAGTCATTATTTTTTTGAAATTGAAATATGACTATATGAAACCAAAACTAGCATACGTTGTTGATTCTAAATTTATAAAATTAATCTGGCACAAAATATTTAGTGTTATTCAGTGTTTAATAAACCAGGTGCATCTTTATGTCAGCAAGTTGAAAGAAGTGCAAAGGCCAATCCAGTATATAAAATTTTACAATAAATAATAACCAGAACCATAAACAGTACTCTACACATCCAGCTATTTCAAGTCTTATTTCTTTGCATATTTATTTTGTCAAGGAACACTTAATTCACTTTGTACAGAAGATTCCATGTATTGTTCAAAAAGACTGACTGGTTATCTTGTAACCCTTGGTAAACTGAAATGCAAAGGTCTTCAAACTTGGGAAGTTTAAGACTTGTGGACTTCAACTCCCAGAATTCCTGAGCTAACAGACTAGTGGAGGAATTCTGGGAGTTGAAGTCCACAAGTCTTAAAGCTATCAAGTTTGAAGACTCCTGCTGAAATGGAACAGAACAGTTCTCAATGGCTGCTTATATCATCAATAAGAATAATTTAATTTATTTATTTAGGGAAATTTGTTTTCCATTTGTTAAGCTTCCAAAGAACTCTTGAGTTTTCAGAAAACTCAAGAGTTTTCTTGAGATCTAGAAAATCACACAGCTAGAACAAACTGAATTTAGATTGACTCTTTGATAAAGAATGGAACAATCTGATAAAGATTAATTTTGAAATCCACCAAATATTTGGATAAAGACTGAGAATGCAACAGATTAATTTGTAGAGCTATTATTTGTAGGGCTATAAGGACAGTCTTAATGCTGTCATTGACTTTCTCTTGCCAGCATGTACACAGATATGGGATCAACATATCCTTTCCCATCCTTCAGCTTTCTCCATCCAGCTGTCCATCAAATCTATTCTTATCTCAGGTTTATCAATAATAACAGCCATAAAAGATATTAAATAGAGCTTATCTGAAGAGGAAGGAAAGATGGTCTATAAGGTCTGAACTGGGCTGTCTTTCCAATATCTAGTGTTCTATAACTTTCACTTATTGAAGTTAAGTGTTCTCATTAAAAAGAAGGTTTTTGCATGGTCTGTTTAAAAAAAAAGGCACTCAATACACCATGAGTCCCCTTTCCTAGCTCTGAAAGTTAGAGTTACAGCACTTAGCAGAGGAACAAAATATTTCAACTTTTTTTCAAAAAGAAGCCCATTTGACAACCCTGTTTTTGACTTTTAAAGCTTGCTTCCTGCCAAAGTATCCTCTGGGAATGTCTAAAATTGGGGGGAAATTAGAGCACCAGAGAGGGAATAGGTTTTTCATCTGTACAACAAAACTAGCCATGAAGGACATTTCATCTCTTTCTTACTTGGAATTGGGTGATTAACTTCTGTTTTCATCTTTTCCTTACAGCTCTGAGGAAACGGGCTACCCAGAAAATGGCCAGCACCTGTGCTGCTGTCCACCTGTCTCTTTAAGGCCTCTTCCCAGCCAGGCCGGCAGCCTTGATTATAAAAGCTGTGCTGAGAAGCAGCTCAGAGTGCAGTATATGGTGGGGTGGGGAAGAGAGAATAAGTTTCTCTTTGTGTGTGGAAGTCAGGCAGCCAGAGAGGTGTAATTTTCTCTAGCAGTACTTGGAAGAAATAGGAGTAGTAGTTCTCAGAAGAAATAGTAGCTGTAGGAATAGAAGTGGGGAAGAGTGGAATAAGGGTGAGTAGTAGTAATAGCTTGTGAATGCTTGTGTGTGTTGGACCTATGTTGCTGTTGGCTTGTTTGGAGCCCACTGAAATGGAAATACTGAAAAGAACCCATGACAAAAGTGGGAAGGCAGGGTAGGATATCTGTAAAAAAGTGGGATAGCCAACTTAGGGTGGCAACCACACAAATGGAGATGGCTTAAGCTCAAGGAGTTCATTAAACACTCCATGAAAAGAAAATGCACCCTAAATACAAAAGGAACAGAGTTTGGCCCTCACAGAAGAAGTCAGACTTTGCAGGAAATGACCAACAATCCTGGCTGTAGAAACCAGACCTCTTAACCAGAACTTACACCACATAAACAGACATAGGAAAGGTAGAAGGGACAGATTCTCCCTTAGAAAAAACTACTACCTTGATAGACCTAAGGTATCCATTTTATGCCTGTAGTTAAACCAAAGAAAATAGACCAGCCAGAAATGGAGCTGGACTAAGATATTAAAGCAACAGCAAAAGGAAAGGCTTCAACTAAAGAGAAAAAAGAGCAGCTTTGGAAGGAGGCAGAAAGTTAAGATAAGCTATGATGGGGAAAGAGTGAATGAGGTAAGAAGAGATGAGGGAGCTGATGGACTTAAAGGAGCACCCAATAGCAAAAGAAAATGCTTTGACTAAAGACAAAGAATGCCTTTTGAGGGAGGCAAGGAGTGAAGATATTCTATAGTAAGAAAAAAGTGAAAGAGACTGAATGAATTGAGAAGGGCTGATACACTTAAAGGAGTGCATCAACTAATCTGTAAAAGCCAGCTGGGTGATCCTGAGCCAGTGGCTCTCAGCCCAACTGATTTCAAAGGATGGTGGTTATGGGGAAAATATGAGGGAAGGTGTGTTGGATATGTTCACTACCCTGAGTTATTTGTGAAAGGATACAAATTAAAAAAAAACCCTCCAGTTGGTAAGACAAAGAAGCCTATTTTTTCATGTTTGAAAGTGTTACTACCTCTTGTAGCACAGTGAATGCCTGGCCAGAATACTCCATGTTTAGCTGGAAAGATTTTGAGAGCTTGTAGTAGTCTTCCACCAAGATAAATAATGGACTAATTCCCATATTCAAAAGACAATCCTATATAGGCATGGTATCATTCCCTACAGACAAAGGTTTAGGAGCTACACATAAGGTTAGGAGCTACACATATAACAAACAAAGGGATTCATGAATTGTGGGCAAGACTGGAAGACATAAGCAGGAAATGGTTGAGGCTGCATGAAAGGGAGCAAAAAAAAAAAGTGATAGCAGTAATTTTGGAACAGTTTCTACCCTTACCAAAGTGAGGTTTTGAATGCAAGAACACAGTCAGAAATGGGTCAAAGGGCAGTAGACCTAGCACATTTTAAATATAACATAGTACTTGATACTAATGCAAAATCTGCAGCATAGCAAAATCAAATATGCAGCACTCCTCCCTGTCTAAACCCAATTACTTTAATATTCAATTATACTATTTTTTAGCTATGGTGGTTACCATTGATGCAGCCCTAATGATATAAAACCAATTTTCAGTTTCTTCAAAGTATGAAAGAAAAATCTCTCTTGCCAATTCTAATGCTGAGTTAAAGTTTTGCATGGAGTTTCAGAACATTGCCAAAATGGATCCTGGCTTACTTCCTTCATATTTTCAGTAACAACTGGCCACTGCTTTGCCACATCACTGTGTTGCATAATAGTGACCTTCAGTGATAGTTTGAAGCATATTGTCTTCCACCAAGCACACACATGAAACTTCTTCCTCTTGACTTTTGGAAACTAAAAGAAGTACGGACAACCTTTTGTACAGTGTGAACTTTCCAGTTTAATCCCATTGTGGCTGAAAACTTTTGATGCTGCCAATTTATTAGGGAGAATTTACTTGATGAAAATTCATCCTCCCTCTTCTGTTAAATATTTAGTTAAAATATTTACCAGAAAAAGTAGACTGACAATCAAAGTACAGTTTAGTTGTACCATTTATGGTGGAATGAGAAACTTTCTGTGGTTAAAGCTTGAGAAACGATTACAGACATGCTTTGATCATGTGAAATGTTTCTAAAATATATCCTTACTTTAAAATATTTTGATCAAATCTTGATTTAGATACTGAAGGTGCTGTACAGGACTGATGTACATTTAAGCAATTAAGAACTAGAAATCAAAGTAGATGCTTCTTGATGGAGAAAAATTTTCCTCACTTCCAAATGTAATAACACATTACTGATCTTTTGAGCAGAAAATAGTCATTTGTCTTAACTGAACTGCTTCAGCTATGTTTAATTTGTCAGTAAGCTAGTCAAAAAGTTATCACTTGATTACAAAACAAAACACTAAGCGCCTAATTCCAAAATTTATTTTTTCCAAAACAGGCATTGCATATAAACAAAGTGAACATTACACTTGAATATTCAACAAGTTAGTAAATTTATTCAAAAAAGAATGAAGAAAATGATCAAAGTTTTAAAAGTAAAACTGTAGACATTAATGCAATATTGGGTGTATCCAACTGGCAATCATATCAATAAAGGCAACAGATTTGGCTGACCATTAGTTTCCTTCAAACAGAAGTTTTGAAAACACATTTTTATCCTTTATCCTTTTGCAGTACATGTAAAAACACTAAAGAACACTGTTACTTTTCTAACCCAGCTCTCCTCATTTGGAACCCTCCAGAGATATTAGATTGCAACTTCCATCACAACAACCAAAATAACAAATGACCTTAAAGGCTGGGACTGAAGACATTTGTAATCCATTGTAGGTGTGGGTTGGTTGGTTACAGCTAGAAACATTTCTGTGTTGTTCCCAGCTGCTACAGTTTACTGATGTGTGAATGGAATGAACAAGAAGACCTACCTTGCCAGATAGCTACTGCTATCAGAACCAAAAGAGAGCCCATTTGCCCTGGAGTGAAGGTATCCATCCTGCACAACCCAGGTGTGGTATGGTGGGCTAGGAGAACAGTGCCAGTGCCTTGGCCCAGGGAATCTTTCTTGGAAAACAAAGGATGAAGCAACAAAGGCTGCTAATCCTTCAATCGTGTATTCTTTGTGCCTGGTTGCTTGGAGGAAGACACTTCTCGTTTTCTGAAAAAGACCACAAGTTAGGAAATTTCTAGCTCCAAAAAAAGAACAAGCAAGAAAGAATGTGTCATGAACACTTCAATGGGAGGGAGGAGAGAGGAGATACAGCTCAAGGAGGCCCCATTTAAAATACTCTTTTAAAGGTTGATTTGATCATGTTCCAATAGTACTGGCTTGTATTTGCAATCAGAAAAGATAATTTGGGAATGGCATCTCCTTTTCAGACACTCGCCTAGAGACAATCTGCAGCCGAGGGGGAGGGGATGTGTTTATCTGTGCAAATTGTGTCTATTTGTCCTGACTAAAACACCATATGTTTAAGAGATCTGAAAGCTCACAATTGTTCATACAACTGAATATAGTTGAAATTTATTGCTCAGGTTAAACCTGTACTAGGTTCTGATGCATGTGATCCATCATATAACTGGACATGGCTGCAATGCATATGAGAATTTGGCAGCATGGAGGCTGAGGCCAGAGCTGGCAAGTGCAGCTTCAGCTCTAGACTATCCTACATTAGAGAAATTTAGAAATGCACATCTAAAACCATATATTGTATATGAAAAATCATTTTTTATGCTGTGGTAAAATCAAGTCATACTGCTTCAGTGATCCTCATGAGATAGAAAACATGACAACAAAAGGAATTCCATAAATTTTCCATACTTCATTTTTTTTTCCTTTTGCAACTTCATAGGAAAGAAGAATTGAAGGGTGGAAAGCAGTCAAAGTAGATTATGGAATGAGGATTGTAAACTACTGAAGAGTATTTTGAATATGATGGGGTACAAATACAATATATTTTGGAAACTAAAATACACCACCACTACATACACCACCATCTCTCAATTTTTCTATGGCTATCTATCCTCCTCAAATGGTTAATATTTCAGCACTGTCTTTCAATGTTTTCACAGCCTGGGCAAGTGAAGTGGCACATGGCCTACATTAAGACTACAATTCAGAACACATTCATTAAACTTGCTTAGTTATTTAGGAACAAACAGCCAATAGCAAAAGTGGAGAATACTGCATGAAGTAAAGTCACAAATATGCAGAATAGTGATTCCCCCCCCAAATCATCCCTCAACCTTATATCTTCAGTTATTCTTACATCATCTTTCAATGAATATGGGTGAATCTGCCCTCCCCTTCTTCCTGGGAATCGAGGAATTTCTAGGAATGATTATATTATTAAAATGGCAGAGTTCAATTTGTAGCAGAGTGCCTGCCACATGGTGGCTTGTTTGCTGATACACTGATATAAGTATATTTTGGTAGCCAATACTGGAAGCAAAGTGAGGGAAACAGCATCTCTAGCTGAATGTTTATTTGAAATTAAATGCCACGTGTCTCATATACATGCCCAGCTAGAAAAAAGGAGCCAAGGGCTCCCAATGCACAGAAGAAAAGGTGGAAATTGAGTAGAAAATTTTGGTTAGAACAGACATGGGAACTTCAGTACCAGGGATGCAAACACAAACCAAAGTAAAACCAGACTTTTGGCACTGAGGAAAAATGAGGAGTATCAACTTTGAGGTTGACCCATGTGGAAAAGCCATCAGGACTAGAACCATTTGGAATTGGATGAATTGCATCCAGGGAAGAAAGGTGAAAATAGTCCAAATGGGACAGTAGAGAATAGATAGTATGCAGGAATTTATCATTGGGAATGATAGGGATCTCTACTATACAAATAACTGCTCTGTCAGGCATGTGAACAAACCTTTAAAATCAGCTATATCGTCATCCAAGTAAGAAAAAAGAAGTTACTGCTTCCAGCATAGATAAATTCTATGAACTCTATTTTATAGTTTCCTCCCTTCAGTTTTATGCGTTGAGTAAAACATGAGAAATTTGGCCTGTACAAAAACTTTACTTGAACCCAGTGAAGCCAGATGTCATAACTTAATAACAAGGTTTGGTGGTGGCTAAGCTTCCTCCAATACTATCTATGAAAGTATTAATCCCAGCTAAACCATCACTTTTTCCCCCAGTGGAAGGAAGTAATAGCTATTGTTTGTCTGAAATGATATAGGGCAGGGGTCTCAAACACAATTTACCTGGGGGCTACTGGAGACAGTCTGGGTGAGGCTGGTCTGCATAATATTATACCTTATACTTTATATTTATATTATACACTAATATTATACTTTCATATCACAGTGGGGGCCACGGGATATCGTCCTGCGGCCCACAATTGGCCCGCAGGCCACGAGAATGAGACTACTGATATAGGGTCTCCTGTTTGAGCTTGGGGTTGGACTAAAAGATCTGCAAGGTCCCTTCCTATTATTTCGTTCTGTTTTTCTGTTAAGCTAACTTTGTGATGACCATTGATGGCTACTTCCTGTTGACTGAAATGTCTCCAACTATAACAGCCCAAGACAATGGGATTGAACCTCTTTTAGCTTTCATGGGTAATGAAGGTGATGTCAACCCTACCTTATACGATAAAATGAAATGTGATGTTTCTGGGAAGGTTGAGCTATGATAATATAGCCTGCTCTGGGGTCACGGAGGATTTATGGCAAACTGCTGGTGAGAGTAAAGACTAAGACAACATAGGACACGAAAACATAGGGTAATAATACCCTTCACCTTCCTGGGTGAATTTTTCAGCATTATCAGCAGCTGAAAATGGGAAGTAGAGGATGGGAAGCATGATAGCTTACAGTGACCTTGTTTTCTTTTAATTTATGACACATATGCCAATTTTTTTTATAAGTTATGAGGAATCTTGCTTTAACCGTTGAAAGGTGGAAAAATGGCCATTTCAAGAGACCTGATAGTTTCAAGAAGCCAAGGAACTTGCAGTTCTGTATGTAGGCACTTACTCTACTAAGAAAATTATATACAGAGATTTTAATTATGGGTACTTGTTCAGAAATGAATAAGAATATCAGGATAATAACTCACATAAATGCATATCTACATACATTGTACCATCTGAATTTTGTCAGCTATTTAACCAAGAGCTATTTAACCAACAGATGATTCAGGAAAGAATGGCTGTTTAGTTGTGGAGCCCTCTAAAGCATTAATATTCTTCCTTACCACAATCGCCCTGTCAGGAAGATTGAGGGGAAAGAGTCATTGGCCCAAAGTCACCTAGAGAACTTTTGTGGATGAAGGTGGACTTGAGTCTTGGTACTGCATTCCTTTTTTTGCACATGTCAGTGTAGCATGTTCATCTTAAAAAAATTTTTTAAAAAAAATACTTTATTGAAATTTAAGATACTAACTTGTTTTTAACAAAATACAAAATATTAAAAAGATTTGCAAAAGTTTCTGTAGAGGAAATTATGACAATATCTTTCAACATCACTTGCTTGACAGTACCATAAATGCCATAGATACACATAATAGTTGACAGTTATTTATCGTATTAGTGATATTAATTCACAGTGCTTTGCTACTATTAATAAACATAAATATTTCATCTTTATAGGTCAATAGTTCAAGTATGAAAAGAAGTATCATGTTAACACTTAAGATAGATAGATAGATAGATAGATAGATAGATAGATAGATAGATAGATAGATAGATAGATAGATAGATAGATTATAATTACTCCTGACTCTTTCTATCTATGTATTACATTTTAACATTCCGTAATCATGGGGGGAAATGGAGTACACATTTTTAATGTGAACTATTTTTAATAGTTTAATAGTTTTAATAGTTCACATTTTTAATGTGAACTATTTTTAATAGTTCAATGTACATATTTCTACATTGGTATTTATGAATCCGAATATAGATATTTAAGTCTCCATTTTTCTAACACTTCCTCCTTTTCTACAGTTTCTCCTTTTTCCTATGTATATACTAGTATACCAATTTTATTTCCTTTTTTTGACCTTTCTTTATCCTGTTTTACTGTCTAACCATTGATACTAGATATTCTAGATTAAATAGTACTCTGAGTCCTCTTTGTCCTTTAATTTCAATGTGAGTCTATCCATCTCTGCACACTCCAAAAATTTTGTGAACTATAATGTCATTTGACGGAGTATTAGACATCTTCCAGATCTGAGCTAGTGCAATTAGTGCTGCCATTAATATATGTATAATCAAATATTGAATCTTTTGGGGATATTTCTCTTTAATGATTCCCAGGAGAAATAATTCTGGCTTCCACTCCAACCTGTAGTGGGTCATTTCCTTTAGCCATGTTTGTAATCCAATATTTCTTAATTTCTGGGCATAGCCACCAGATGTGAAAAAAGGTGCCTTGTGTTTTCTTACATTTTCAACAATTTGAGTTCAATTTGGGGTACATTTTTGTGAGCTATTGGTGTTAAATGTCATTGATAGAGCATTTTATAAAAATTTTCATTGTAAGCAACCAATTTTATCATGGAAAAGTTTTTTTGCCATATGTTTTCCCAGTCATCCAATTCATGTCCAAAGTTTTTTGCCCAGGCCAACATTGGTCCTTTAACAATTTCCTCTTCTAAATAAAAATTTAGCAAATATTTGTATATTTTAGATATTATTTTTTCTTCTGGTCCTAACAATATTTTAGCTAATTGGGTTGTTTTTGTTCTGAATCCGAATTCTTCTAAAACCTTTTTATATCTCATCTGCACTTGAAGGTATGACCACCAATCTATAAATATTCCTTGTGTTTCTAATTCTTGAGTTGTTTTGAGTCTTCCTTGATTATCCAAAAGTTGATAATATTTAAGTTTTTTACTGATATCCAAAATATTTGGGTGGATCTTTGCTTCCATAGTGGAGCCAGCCTGGAATTTTGGTGTAGTGCTCCTTCCTGGTTTCCTCCCAAGTATTTATCAATGAATCTCTCAAGACATGTCTATAAAAGTAGGAGTGATTCTTATTCCTGGGTTCCATATGAAGGCATGCCACCCTATTTACATATCATGTCCTTCTAATATTAAGATTCTCTTGTTTTCTAATTTAATCCAATCTTTAATCCATACTAAAGATGCTGCTTTGTA